ATCATATTTTTTACTTCCTCTTCCCCAAACTGTGTCAATTGGATGGTGAGAGTATGCAACCAAACATGCATTGGGTAAATAGATTGATAATCTACTTAATTCAGACCTGAGACAAGTCATGTTGGTTCATATTATTTCTGTTTTCTGGTCATTTAGAGTAAAACAGGTAAGCTTAACATTTAGAGTAAAACAGGTAAGCTTAACATTTTCATCCTAATTTTTAGTTAATATGTCATACTATTGTTTTAAGTATTGAAAAGCTATTTTTGGTTTGTTGAAACTTACATGTTAATCCTGAGAGGATGCACTTCAAATCAATGAATTATCCTCAGCTCCTAGGTCATGTGTCAGTACTACAGTTGAGCCACTAAAAGCATATCTTCAGGGGAAACTCACTTTATTGTCTTTGCTAGCATCTGTTTTTTTGTTTCAAAATACAGAATGAATGTATGGTGGAGAAAGTGTCAATTGCAGGAAATGGAAGGTAAACAAAGTTGTCATGGAGATAGAGAAATGTCAAGTTTAAGATCACTGATGCTTGCCAGAGCATCTTCCCCTTGCCAATTGTGCGATGGGCTCTCAAAGCTAGACCCTTGCTTTGCCTAATCCTTGCACATGATTTAAATGCTTTATTGACAAAGTACTAAAATTAGTGAAGTTGTATGTAGATAAAACTATATAACTAAAAAAAAAAAAAAACTATATAACTTCCTTTAGCCACAAATGAAAGAATAAACACTTCCATTCCTTCTTTTGCCCTGAAGCAAAACTAACTGTGAAACAGAGCCCCACTCCAGATAAACAAGTCCTGTAAATTTTAGCCATCCATTCACATGAAACAAAGAGCAAGTTGCTCAGGAAAATATAAATACTTTATCTAAATGTCTTATCTTATACTATTAAAACTTTAAGAACTATTCATGAGTCTTCCATGGAAACATACAAAAAATACCTTTTAATTTTAATTATTGTTTTTATGAAAGGTGTTATAACTGTAAACCATGCTTTAAAACATTAACAAAAGGGTTCAATGTGCAAACCCTCCTCAAAGAACAACTTGGAGTTTGTGGAAGGAATAATATGAGGTGATATATAAATGAGAGGGGAGATCCTTCAATAGAAAATAAATGTAACCAAAATGGACTTTTTAATGACAAAATATTACCATAGGTGATGACAACAGCTTGTAGAATACAAAGGTAGAACATAAATTAAATGAGGCTGGAAAGGTAACAGATTAATTTGGGGAGTGACTAAGAATATGAAGTATTAGAGAAGAATAAAGAGAAAAAATAAATTATTTCTGGAAATACCTGTCTTCTGGAGCAGAGCTCCTATGAAATGATGCAAAATCATCTAGTTAAGATAGAGTCATCATAACCAGCAACTTTTTTATAGGTTAATATTTTATGTATATGAGTGTTTACCTGCACATTTGCATGTATAACACACATACACACTTTCAAATGATGCCAGAGTAGGGCATCAGAACCCCAGGAACTGGTGTGACAATTAGTTTTTAGCTACCACATGGGTGCTGGAAACTGACCCCAGGTTGTTTGCAAGAATATCAAGTGCTCTTTACCACTGAGCCATCTCATGAGCCCCAGAAATTGTATTTTGACATATTGATTCTCAACTTGGCATAACATGGGCAATCAGAGATGAGCTTTTAAAGCCACACTCTGGGTGAACTGTTGTATGACCAGGCATCATGAGTTTCTGTTTTAATTTTTGAGACTGGATGTCACATGGCCCATGCTGGCTTCATATTTACTAAGTGGTCTAGGATTCTTTGAATTTCTGATCCTCTAGCCTCTAGTTCAGAGATTAGAGGTAAACAATACCACCTCTGGTTCTTGTAGTTCTGCCAACTGAGGAACATCTATGAGTTTTAAATATCCTCATTGATTCTTATGATCAGTCAATGGTTGAGAGGACTATGAGAATAGGACTTCTGTGAGATCTGGAAAAAGAGTTAACCACTCAACAAACACCTAAAATGTGACCATTACAACTCCTGGTGACACATAACATAACCGATTTCAATTGGACATGATTAGAACTTCAATAACATGCATATAATTTGGTCCCATTTGTCTGCACTGAGTCTTCATAATGCTAAGTTGCATTCTATACAGGCATAGAATAAAAGGCCCCTTAACTAATTCTTGAAGAGAAATAGCTCATTTGGCCAGAAAAAAAAAATTAAACTCCAAACAAATATTTTCATTTTTATACACAAAACCTCAGTTCAAAAAATGTCTCCTGTAAAACTTCATTTATACAGATAATTGTCTCTCTCACCTGTGTTTCCTTACAAGGCTGGAAGGAGAAGTTCTGAAGGACTTTAGTGAGAGCAAGTTTCATATTCATGAGTGCAAACCTCATGCCAATGCAGTTTCTGGGTCCATATCCAAAGGGCAGGTATAGATAAGGATCAATGCTGCCCTTGTTCTCCTTGCTAAACCTGGAGACACAACAGTAGGTGACAAGTTAATGAAGAATAAAATCATAAGGACTACCTATGTGAAATTGCCTTACAACATCTATCCAGCAGCATACAGATAGTTGGGTTAGATTCGTTGAAGTTTTTCTTACTGGTATTTGGCCCAGAGAATTGTACATTAAAGGTCTTTTCCATTCCCCTTGACTTATCGGGGTCCCCATATGGTTGAGATGAGACAAATGCTATTTGAAATAAATGAATCATTATGTGTTCACTAGTGTAATCATGGTGAGATGGCTAGATATAAGTACCATTTTCTTTCTAATTAAAGTGGCAATCCAATTCCAAGAGGAAATTAATGTCTGGTATTGTAAATCTGGCTAGTGAGGTCACAGGTAATATAGGAGAGCTTACTACTATTGCTTTGCTAAGCAGATATGGTATCAGACTGCCTTCTAAATATTTATGTTTAGACACAGAAATTAGGGTTTATCTCAGCCTTGGTCAGTTTGCAGTGGGAGACAGTTAACCTAGAATCTCATGACTGGTCAAAATGCTGAGAATAAGTGATGGTGGAGTGCTCAACCTCCTCCAAGGCTCAGGGAACATCACAGAAGTGGGGCAGCAAGAACTTGAGAGCCATGACATGAAATGGAGGCTGTGAAATACTATCTTCTGAACATGGCATGCCATTGCACACATGAACAAACATGTAACTACACAAGACTCTCAACACTCAACATGGGAAAGGGAGTTCCTAAGACTCCACCTCCCTAAGAAGCTACTGCCAATTAATAGATGCTAGAGGAGGAAGAAGTTTATCTTCAATAGTGTAGCCATTGATGAGTAGCCCATTCTCCAGTAAACAACTGCTATACTTATATTTATTCAAGAAACCCCAATTAAACTTATAGTCACAAGAAAACTAAAAGACGTAAAAGCAGGAGAATTGTTGAGGAAAAGCAGGGATTTAACATGAGTCGGAAAGAGAAGTAGCAAGATAATGTGATGTGAAAATGAGCAAAATACATTATACATTCACACAATTCTCAAATAATATGAAACAAAGAGAAAGAAAGTTAAAAAAGAGAAATACTCCTTTAAAGAATAAAAATTCATTTAGTATAATGGTGTGTTCCAAGTCTGAAAAGCACATAACATTTAAACTGAAAATAAAGTGGGTTCCTGCCTCACACTTAAGTTGCTCATTTACTACTTAAAGAATGAGGAAAAAACATTCTGTATTTAAGTTGTCATATTGTCTTCCCAACTCATGCCCCCTGTCCTCTCTTTCTTCCTTTTCTCTGCCACTCTCATCACAGAATGCAGATGGATACAAAAATCGTAATTTTTGTATCTTCCTACAAGAGACATAGCATGAACAGACCAACATAATTCAGGGTTGGTTCTCGTTCTTGGGATTCTGGTACCTTTCAGGTCGGAATTTCTCAGGCTCTGGCCAGTGCTGTGGGTCATGTTGAAGAGCATAAGTTGGTATCATCACTATCGACCCTTTGGGAATAAACACACCATTGATTTCAACATCTTTTTTACAGACCCTCTCAAGTCTATTAGCAATTGGGTATAATCTGAGGGTTTCATTCAACACCATGTCCAGGTACTCCATCTCCATCACACTATTGTAGCTGGGTGATGCCTGAGAAGAAAGAAAAAGATTTGTGCTAAGATTTTCAAAAACTTTCAACTCCATCTGCTTTGTACTGGTTAGTTCTCTGCAGCGAAGCACAGCATCTCAGAGCACCTTCATTAGCACACACATTTTAGATGGTTTTAAAACTTGTTTTGATTGTTTGTATGTTTTAATTATTTTTATTAATTACATTTTATTCACTTTGTATCACCCTTGTACCTCCCTCCTTCCTCCCCTCCCTATCCCACCCTCCCTCTTCTCCACCGGTGTCCCTCTCTCAGTCTACTGAAAAGGGAGGTCCTCCTCCCCTTTCCTCTGATCCTAGTCTATCAGGTCTCATCAGGCCTGTAAGTCTGTGGCCTGGTAAGGCTGTTCTCCCCTCAGGGGGATGTCATCAAAAAGTAGGCCAATCAGTTCATGTCAGAGACAGTCCCTGTCCCCATTACTGAACTGCCATAGGCTACCTTTGTGCAGGCATTCCAGGCCATATCCATGAGTGGTCCTTGGCTGGAGTATCAGTTTCAGAAAAGACCTCTGTACCCAAAATTTTAGGATCTGTCGCTGTCCTTGTGGAGCTCCTGTCCTCTCCCACTTCTTTCATAAGATTCCCTGCACTCTGTCCAAACTTTGGCCAGGAGTCTCAACATCTGCCTCAATACCCTGCAGGATAGAACCTTTCAGAGGTGTGTGTATGTGTTTTTCCTACATATGTGTTGTGCCTCACATGGGGTAATTGCCCACAGAAGCCAAACAGGACATCAGATGTCCCATGACTAGAGTTCAACAGAGTTGACAGCTGCCATGTGAGCACTGGGACTCAAATATGGATAGAACCTCTGTAAGAACAGCCAGTGCTCTTAACCACTGTGCTACCTCCCCAGCCCCTTACACAACAGTTTGTATAACTATCACATGAGGCTGGGAGGATGTCTCAAGTAGTGAAGTGTCTGCTACACAAGCCTAGGACCTGGGTTTAGACACACATCATTCATAAAGCCAGATTCAGTGGCACACATCTACAGTCCTGTCAGTTGGGGACAGAGGATCATTGGTGTTCATTGTCCAGATACCTTAGTCAATCAATAAGCTGCAGGTTTAGTGAGCGTGCCTGTCTCAAAAAAATATGTTGGAGAATAACTTAGACAAACACACACACACACACACACACACACACACACACACACACAGTATTGCATGTGATGAGAAGCTGTTTTTGATGAGCCTTCCTCTTTCCCCTCCTACTCCAAGCACCAACCAGTCACCTTATTGGGCAGAGCCCTGTCGATCTCCTCCTGCAGTTTCTTCTGTATATCAGGGTGAGTGGTCAGGGAATGCAAGACAAAGGAAAGTGTGGTGCTGGTGGTGTCATAGCCGGCAAAAATAAAGATAATTGACTGTGCCATGATCTCCATGTCAGACAGGGCTGGAAGTAAAAAAATATATATATATCTCGTGTAAGTCATGTCAATATGGACTATCACAGATGGGATGAGGAAAACCAAATGAGGCTTCGGCTTTCTTAGAGATAAATACGGAGAAGCTGTTTGCTCACCCTGAGCCTGTTATCATTATGACATCTGAGTGACACATCCAGAGATGGGGGAGATCACTTCAGCCAGGTTGTCCCAAGGTGTGTGCTATGTTCCTCATCATCACCATTGGGCAACTTCGAGACATGCGATTTCTGAGACTCATAACCAAACTTTGGGCAGAGAGCAGAGAATTGTATGAAAGAAGGGGGAGATAGTAAGACCTGGAGAGGACAGGAGTTCAACCAAGAGAACCATAGAACCAAAATATCTGGGCACAGGGATCTTTTCTGAGACTTATAATCCAATAAAGGATCATTTGTGGATCTAACCTAGAACCCCTGGTCAGATGTAGCCTATGGCAGCTCAGTATCCAAGTGGGTACTCTAGTAAGTGGAACAGGGACATTCTCTAACATGAACTCAGTGATAGGCTCTTTGAACACTCCTTCCTGAGGTGGGAGCCACCTTGCCAGGCCACAGAGGAGGACAATGCAGCCAGTCCTGATGAGATCTGATAGGCTAGTGTCAGATGGAAGGAGATGAGGACCTCCCCTATCAGTAGAATTGGAGAGGAGCATGGGAGGAGATTAAGGAGGAAAGGTAGAATTGGGAGGGAATGAGGGAGGAGCTACAACTGGGATACATAGTGAATAAACTATAATTAATATAAAAAACTAAAAATTTAATTTAAAAAAGGGATTTCTTATTTTTAAGATTTAATTTTATTTCATTTGTGTGTATTTATGTAGAGAGATGGATGCCACGTAGGTGTCAGCGGTATGCCCATGAAAGCCAGAAAAGGCCATCTGGTCCCTTAGAGAAGGAGTTATAGAAGGTTGTACACTGTCAGAGGTAGGAACAGAAAGCTGAACTCCAGTCTTCTTCTTGAGCTTAAGATTTTTTTTTACTTTTATTTTTATTTATGTGTGTGCACACACACACACATGTACAAGTATCCATGTAGGCCAGGAGATGGTATTGGAGACCACAGAGTTAAATTTACAGGCAGTTGTAAACCTTCTGACATGAATTCTCTGATTCTGTTGTTGGTAAATTCCTTTTCCCAAATAGTATAAGCCCTTGCTTCTATATTGAAATGGGACTATAAGCCCACAATCAGTAGCTATTTTTTAAATGAATATCGTTTTTAGCAATCAAAATGAACCAGAAGGGTAGAGTATATGTAGCTCAGTAGATGGACTGCCACGGATTCATTCCCCAGAACATGCTTAAAGGTCATGCATTCTCAGGCATATTATGAATGTGAGGTCAACCTCACCCTCAAACAGGGCCATGTAAAACTCTGTTTCCAAAAGAAGATGAAGTACAAAAGAAGTTAACATTAGCTGATCACATGAAAGAGTTTCAAGTGGATAAACTGGAAAGAATTTATACAAAAAAGAAACAGTGACTTTGAAAAGTGTAATTATATATGTTATATATATAACAAGTGTTGTGTGTGTGTGTGTGTGTGTGTAGGCAAGTGTACACACTAGAAATAAGCAATGAGGTAACAATGCAAGACTCCACTTACATTAGCTGCTGAGGCTCATGGAGAAGAAAGCCTGTAATTGAAAGGCCGTCATTTTCCCACCATGAAAGTAATGATGGTTTTAAAATTGAAAAGAAACATAGATGGAAAACTCAAGAGATGGCCCAGTGGCTAAGAGCACTTGTTCCACAGCTTGAGGACATGAGTTTGCATATTCTGTCCCCATGTGAAAAGCTAGGTGTGGCAGCACACCACTGTCACCCCAATGCTCTGTACCATTGGGAGCTGCTGGCTGCCAGCTTAGCTCTAGGTTTAGTAAGAGGATATAAAGCAAAGCAAGATTAGGAGAGATGCTTGGTGCCTTCTCTGTTTTCTGCACACACAACTAGGCTTTTGCACATGTGCACCTACTTGTGAACACACATACATACACCACACAAAGAAGATAAATATATATATAGGCAGTTTTTAAGTGTGTCAAAGAATTGGAGAGAAGCAGCGTGTTTTTACAAAGAGGCTTTCCTTGGAAGCTACTTATTCATCAGGCAAAGGAAAAGGCAATCTCTACCATAGATTAAGGTATAGAACACATACATACTAGGGGTTCCCAGAATGCATCAGCACTGTTTGGGTACATGCCTCCTGTCTGGATGTTTAGACTCAGATGTCTAGGCAGAGTTTTAAGTCAGTGTATGGGAAAAGAAAGAAACAACACCTATAGTCTCATGGATAACACACAGGCATCTGAAGTCTTCCATTGTGATTATCCTTCACGTTTGGAACAGTTATGCCAGTGCGCTTTCAGAAAATATCATGAAGATGATAGCCATGTCTGCTTGCACCAACTTGACAGAAATATTCCTCCACCTAGAAAATCTTCCTTGCATATTTTCTGAGTGGCCTGCCCACTCTATGAGAGCTTCCCTATGCATAGACCAGTGAGTCCTTGTTTACCTTTGTGAGACTCTTTGTCTTTGGTATTCTTGTGAGCTTTCATCATCAGCTGGAGAAAATCCACTCGATGCTGGAGGCAGAAAGAGAAATCACAAATGTAGAAGGTCAGTGATGAAGTTAAAGATGGATCAGGAGTGCAGAAGCTTAATTTGTTCTTTTCTGAGTACATGGCTCCCTTACACTCACAAACATGACTAGTGTCACTTGAGTCACCAAAGACTGAAAGCACAAGTTACTAAATCAGGAAGCAATCCAGCCACCATATCAACTGCTTTTACAATAAATAACAATTAGGTGCAATTTTAAACAGTCACTTTTATTCTTTGCAAATGCTTTTGAAGGACAGGAAAATAGTAATTCTCCCTCTTGAATCATTTTTATTTGTTACCAGAAAACTTCACATTTGTACACAATGGGATATGGTCATATCTACCCCATTCTTTCTTCTATCCAATTCTTTCTATATCCTCTGCAACATTTCTTTCTCTAAACGTTGTGCCCTCATTTTAATAACTCACTGAGTCCAAGTAGTGCTGCCAATATAAGCACGTCTGTGGGGACATCCACTGCTACATCAGAATCCTTCTAGTGTCCACAGCCTCCATCCACAGCTATTAACTGCCAATTGTTCCACAGTAATGGGAAGAGCTTGGAGAGTTCCCCTCTGATATATGTTATAGGTTTATGATCTTGATCTTCTGTAGGTCTTGTGCTGTGTCTAATTTTTGAGTTTTCAATTCTTATGCCTGGCACTGTAGTTTTCATTCTAATTGCTAAGGGTTAATTCCTGGCTTATTCTCAATAAAAAATTTAAAAATCCAAAATTCTCCTTCCCCAGAAAATGTAAATATTCTGTCTCACTCTAAATCGAGCCTTCTCTATCTACCTTTAGTAACAGATGAAGGGAAGTACACAGCTCACGTGTTCACAGCCCAACATATTTTCAACATATGGACCTCTCATGAGATCACCACTTTTTACCTTCTCATTAGAATTCAGGCGGTTTTCCTTCATTTTTTCCACAAATTTTTTGAAAAATGCTAAGGAATCCTTTGGGAACATGGAGATATTTAACATCTCATATATTGGGGTGAGGAATGGAAAAAGTACTGGAAAGAAAAAAATAAGGTTTAATGGAGATGCAAGATTCATCTAGAGAAATCAAAGCACAATCCAAATAAGCCATTTTCTCAGCCAGAAACTGTTCTCCCCTTGATCTTGCTCACATTGTAACCTTGCTCACGCCATGAGCATGCTCACTTCGGGTTACCTCCTCACTGCTCCACAGCAGTGGAACAGCCAGGCTGCAAATCTGACTTTGTATTGAACTCTGTTCCTGTAATTCTTATGGATCCAGAGAGAAAAGATGGGGGGTTTTGAGATGGTTCAAGAGATAAATGGTCCTGCAGACAAGTGTGACAACCTCAGCTTGATCCCTAGATCACATGCTGTGGAAGGATACAACCACAAAAACCAAGGTGCACATACATAGATGTACACAAACAAATAAAGACAGCTGACATTACACAGAGAAACCATGTCTCAAAAAAAAAAAAAAAAAAAAAAAAAGACAAGCTCAAAGGCAGGTGACCCCAACTCAGAAAAAAGACAAATCACATAATGTTTCTAATTTCACAGTTGTAGCCTATAATGGATAAATGTAAATATGTAAACAGGTATATATATGGCTATCACATAACACTTAAATGGAGACCAAGAAGATAATATTAAGTGGTGAGGAAGGAATGGAGTGTAGGGAAAAGGACACATGAGCTGTGTATGGAAATGTAATTAACAAGGAAAAGAATTAAAGCCCTAAATGGAGCAATGGAGCACCACTGTTAAATGGATATATATTTATAGTCACTCTACACAGACTGGAGATATGGCTCAGCAGTTACCATTGGCTGCTTTTGCAGACAACCTAGGTTTCATTCTCAGCCTCCACATGGCTGCTCTCTAAGAAGAAGGAGATGGGGAATTAGGAGGAGGCTTATGCAAGAAGACAGAGACAGCAAGGAGAGATGGGGGCTGTTATCAAAATGTTAAGTGAATAAATAAATAAATTTTTAAAAATAAAATATTTCCACATTAAAAATTAAATATAGGGTTGCCTTTTAACTCAGCAATGATGATTCTGAATATATACTTCAAAAGATAAAAAAAAATGAATATACCCTTCTATGCATATTCTCATATCAGTAAAATTCATGGCAAACAGGTGAAACTAACTTCATGTCTATTGATAGATATGGAGCATTGTTTGCTCATGGACACAGGAGATAGTGATGTTTGCTTCATTTACTATTGTGCTAAATAAAAGATGCCTGCCACAGAGACCACATAGTCGATGATCCCATTGATGTGAAATGCCAAGCATATGTAAATATACAGAAAGTGGACTGGTGGTTGCTAAGGTCTAGGCTGCTTAGGTCTAGGTGAAGGATGATGGTTAAAAGATTCAACACCATGGCTACAATGAAGCACTATACAGTCCTCAGTGATAAGGAGCCTTGTGGTCCTTCAGTCATTGCAGATTTTCAAGTGATCAAAGTGCTGTGAATCAGTGACTGCTGAGTACTAAGCCCTAAATGGAGCAACTATATCAACACCCCATCCCTCAAAGCTCAAGAAACATCCTGAAAGAAGGTGTGGAAAGAAAGACCCAGGAATGGGGCATCTGAAGTACCATATCCTGGACATGGCATGGTCCACTCATGGACTGAATCAAGCCAATAATATTGTTTGGTATCCTAGCAGGCAGTGACTGGGCTCACTGGATCACCAAAACAAAGAATGGGACATGAAATCAGAAAGAAAGTGTGTTGGGGCATCTGAGAGAAGTGAGAGGGAAGAGTTAGGGTGGGTCTAATCAAGGTATGTTGTATTCCTATATAATACAGTCAAAGAATAAATAAAATGATTCTAAAGCAAAGCCAGGAATTCTGGTGTGCACTTTAGTCCTCAGGAGGTAGAAGCAGGAGGATCACTGTGAGTTCAAAGCCAGTCTGGTCTACACAGCAATTTCCAGGCCAGGTAGAGCTACACATTGAGACGCTGACTCAAAGTGAAATAAAGTTATAAAACAAACATAATGGGCTACATGTCTCTGAATACACTAAAAACTTTGATTTGCGCCTTTAAGGGGACAAATTATGTGGCAACTGAATTATATACCAGTGGAGAAGCTAGTTTGGGGGAAAGTATGGAAGAGAAAGGCAGAGTGACAAATGCAGCCACAGACAAGACCAATAGCTCAAAAGGATGAACTGTCCACACACCTACTGACAAGAATAATGGATCAAAAAAATCAAGTCTTAAGAGCTTCTTGGCATTCTCCACAAAAGGATCCTTTGGATTGTTGAGGGAATCGACATTCACTCCAAATGACGTGCTGGTGACTACATTCATGCTGTAGGCCCCAAACACTCTGAAGAGGAAGAGACATGGGAATTTAAGATAAGCAGCAAGAAGCATGAAATAGTTCATAGTTTGAGGCAATACAGGCAAAGCCATTTCAGTATTGACCAAGCACCTTCCCATCCTACCCACCATCTACACTCGTGACTTTCAGACCATTGTGATTCTTCTTTCTAAACTGTATGTTTATCTAATATACATATTATATATATATAATATACTCATACATGAAATATATATAGTATCTAAAGGTAGAGTATATGCAGCTAGGCCATGTGATATACACAAGAAAAAAGCCCCTCTGTCCCAGTTATCCTTCCGTTCCCAAAACCACCTTGGATGCACCATCACTTACTCTTTCACAGGGACAGGCTTGCCTTTCTCTGCCTTTCCTCTCAAGTATTTTACCAAAATATCTCCATACTGTTCAACAATGGGGAACATCTGAGCACAAAGCACAAAAACAGCAGTAGTTAGGTGTGGAGAGTCAGGTCACACAAAGATTTCACTCGTAAGTCCTCTTAGTCACCTCTTTGAGTTTTCCACTGGTGAAGGTGGGAGACAGAAAGGCTCTGATTCTCTTCCACTCCTCATCCTCAGATATGGAGACAGCTTTTTTCATAATCCCCACTGGGCCAAATTTCTATGGTCACAAAAGAAAAAAAAATGACTCTGTGTAAGTCTGGAACTCTCCAAGTTTGCAAAAATGCTGAGCAGATAGCACCATATAACAAGTAGTTACTGCCTGCTTATGGTGGACTGGACCTCATGTTAGAGGGAAAGGAAAAAAAATAAAAAGTCAGCATTTCCTCATAGCCTCTATGAAATCCAGTGCTCACCAGGTTACCTGTTATGGTTGCAAACCTTTATATCCCAGGATCCATTTAAATTTAAATTTCTCTGTTGATTTAAATTAGGTCCAGGGGTTGAGGAAAGATAGGAACAGGAATTAGCAGGTGCCCTAGAGCTGTGCAGATGCCAAATGGCTTGGAGACAAATAGAAAGTGAACTTTGCATCAGAGAGGTTCTCCAGCTCAGTATTTACAACACTTGCAAAGTGAAAAGAGATGTCTTGATATGGTGTATGTGTCTGTGTGTGTGTGTGTATCTCTCTGTGTGTACATGTGTCTGTGTACATGATTGCTTGTATACATGCCTGTGTGTGCCCTTGTGCAGACCAGAGGTCTATCATCTTCCTCTATAACTCTCTACAGTACTTTTATGAGACAGGGTCTCTCACCGAACAAAGAAGACTCTGGTTTGGTTGGAATAAGGTAGCAAGCAAGCCCCTAGCGTCTACCTGTAGCTATGCACAGCTCTGGAGGCTCACAAGCATGTCACTCTGCCTGGCTCTTATGTAGATACTGGGGATCCAAACACAGGATATTTTCCCTTTGATGGAGCCATTCCTTCTGATCCTAGTCTATAAGGTCTCATCAGGAGTGACTGCATTGTCTTCCTCTGTGGCCTGGTAGGCTTCACCCCCCTGACGGGGAGGTGATCAAAGAGCAGGCCAATCAGTCAATGACAGAGACAGTCCCTGTTCCCATTACAATGAAACCCACTTGGACACTGAACTGCCATGGGCTACATCTGTGCAGGAGTTCTAGGTTATCTCAGTGAATTGTCCTTGGTTGAAGTATCAGTCTCAGAAAAGTCCCCTGTGAAGTCATTGTTTGATTCTTTTGCTCTCTTGTCCTCTCCAGATCCTATTAATTCCCAATTCTTTCATAAGATTCCCTGCACTCTGCCCAGAGTTTGGCTCTGTGGTAGGCTCCTGCCCTGTTGACTGTGTTCTCCCTCCTCTGATATCTATCCTCTTGGCCTTTCTGAATGGGGATTAAGTATCTTACTCAGTCTTCCTTCGTGATTAGTTTCTTTAGGAGTATAGATTTTAGTGTCTTTATTCTATATTATATGTCTCATATCCACTTATAATTGAGTATATACCATGTTTGTCTTTCTGATTCAGGATACCTCAACCAGAATTATTGTTTCCAGTTCCCACATTTGTCTTCAAGTTTCATGATTTCGTTGTTTTTACTTGCTGAGTAGTATTCCATTGTGTAAATGAACCACAAATTCTGTATCCATTCCTCAACTGAGGGGCATCTGGGTTGTTTCTAGCTACTGGCTATTACAAATAAAGCTATTACAAACATGATTGAGCAAATGTCCCTATTGTATACTTGAGCATATTTTGGATATATGCCTAGGAGTGGTATACCTGTATCTTGAGAAAGCACAATTGCTAATTGTCTGAGAAAGTGCCAGATTGTTTTCAAAGTGGTTGTACAATTTTACATTCCCACCAGCAGTGGAGGAGCGTTCTGCTTTCTCCACATCCTCTCCAGCAGGTGTTTTCACTTGAGTTTTTTATTTTAGCCATTCTGATGGATATAAGGTGAAATCTCAGAATCTCAGGATCGTTTTGATTTGCATTTCCCTGATGACTAAGGACGTTGATCATTTCTTTAAGTGTTTCTCTGCCATTCAATATTCCTCTTTTGAGAAGTCTCTATTTAGCTCTGTACCCCATTTTTTAATTGGATTGCTTGATTTGTTGCTGTTTAACTTATTTAGTTCTTTATATATTCTGGATATTAGTCTTCTGTCAGATATAGCATTCATTGGTGAAGATCCTTTCCCAATTTGTAGGCAGTCATTTTGTTCTGATGACAGTGTCTTTTGCTTTACTGAAGGTTTTCATTTTCATGAGGTCCCATTTATAGATTGTTGATCTTAGAGCCTGTGCTGTTGGTGTTCTGTTTAGGAAGTAGTCTCCTGTGCCAATGAGTTCAAGGAACTTCCCCACATTTTCTTCTAAAACGTTTAGTGTGTCTGGTTTTATAATGAGATCTTTGATCCAGTTGGACTTTAGTTATGTGCATTGTGATGAGTATGAGCATGCAGTTTTCTACATGTAGACATCCAGTTAGACCAGCACCATTTGTTGAAGACGCTATCTTTTTTTCCATTGTATGGTTTTGGCATCTTTGTCAAAAATCAAGTGTGCAGAAGTGAGTGGTTTTATATCAGGGTCTTCTATTCAAATCTATTGATCCACCAGTTGTTTCCAATGCCATTTCCATTCAGTTTTTACTATTGCTGCTCTATAGTGCAGCTTGAGATCAGGGATGGAGATACCACCATAAGATCTTTTATTGTAGAGGATTGTTTTAGCAATTCTGGGTTTCTTGTTATTCCATATAAAGTTGAAAATTATTTTTTCAAGGTCTATAAAGAATTATGTTTGTAATTTGATGGGAATTGCCTTGAATCTGTAGATTTCTTTTGGTAAGATGGCCATTTTTACTATGTTAATCCTGCCAATCCATGAACATGGGAGATCTTCCCATCTTCTGTTATCTTCTACTATTTCTTTCTTCAGAGACTGAAAGTTTTTTTTTTTTTTCATACAAGTCTTTGACTTTTTGGTTAGAATCACACCAAGGTACTTTATGTCATTTGTGTCTATTGTGAAGGGTGTTGTTTCCCTATTTCTTTCTCAGTCCTTTTGTCTTTTGTATAAAAGAGAGCTACTGATTTTTTTGAGTTAATTTTGTATACTGTCACTTTGCTGAATGTGTTTATCAACTGTACAAGTTCCCTGGTAGAATTTTTTTGGGTTATTCATGTCTACTATCATATCATCTTCAGGTAGTGATACTTTGAGTTCTTCCTTTCCAATTTGTATCCCCTTGATCTCCTTTAATTGTCTTATTGCTCTAGCAAAGACTTTCAGAACTGTACTGAAGAGATACAGAGAGAGTAGGCAGCTTTGCCTTGTCCCTGATATCAGTGGAATTGTTTTAAGTTTCTCTTTTAGTTTGATGTGTGCTGTAGGCTTGCTGTATATTGCCTTTACTGTGTTTAGGTATGTGCCTTGTATCCCTGATCTCTTCAAGAATTTAATTCTGAATGGGTGTTGGATTTTCTCAAATGCTTTTTCAGCAACTAAGGAGCTTATAGTGTGTGTGTGTGTGTGTGTGTGTGTGTGTGTGTGTGTGTGTGTGTTTTCTTTCAGTTTGTTTATATGATGGGTTACATTGATGGATTTCCATATATTGAACCACACCTTTATACCTGAGATGAAGCCTATTTTCTTCTCACCTAATTTATTAGGTATTCTGTAGGCCTCTTGTATTCTTATAGGCCTCTCCTTTAAGTTGGGGAAATTTTCTTCTATGATTTTGTTGAAAACACTTTCTGGGCCTTGGAAATGGGAATCTTCTTTTTCCTCTATTCCTATTATTCTTAGGTTTTGTCTTTTCATATTATCTTGGATTTCTTGGAAGAATTGTATCAGGAATATTTTAGATTTATTATTTCTTTTGACAGTTACATCCATTTCTTCCATTGTATCTTCCACACCTGAGATTCTTTTTTCCATCTCTGGTAGTCTGTTGGTTATGCTTACCTCTGTAGGTCATGTTTTCTTTCCTAAATTCTTGCTCTCTGTGATTTCCTCTGTTTGTGCTTTTTTTTTTAATTTTTCCAATTCTATCTTCAGATTTTGCACTGTTTTGTTGATTTTCTTCATCTCTTTGACTTAATTTTCCTGTTTCCCCTTCACGTTTGTTTGAACATTCTTCTGTTTCTTTTATTTCTTTCAGTGACTTAATTATTTCCTCTTTGACGGCCACAAACTGGCTGCATCTTCCTATATTTCTTTACAGATGGCTATAATCTGTTTGACTTTTTTTTCATCTAATTCTTTTTGCATTTTATTTGTTTCTTCCATTATCCTCTTCATAAGCATGTAAGGTCATCTTCTTGATTTTCACTTATGTTAGGGTGTCCAGGGCTAATTGCCAGGATAAATGGCTTCTGGAGATGCCATATTGCTTTGCCTTTTGTTGGTTTTGCTTTTACTCTGGCCTCTATCCTTTTGGTGTCTCTGGTGTTGGCTGCTAATTTCTGGTGCCTGCAGGAATCCTGGGGTGGGGAGAATCCCCCTGGCAGGTTTGTAAAGGAGGCCTCCTCAGCTTTTTGGGTATGGTCAACTAAATGGCTGTGCTTCTCAGGAATTGTCACAATTCACCTCAGGCATATGGACCTATGCGGTATCTATGATGTTCAGGAAGGTTGTCTTCTCATCAGGAGAAGGCCTGAAGATGACTGCCCTGCTGCTTGGTTTGTTGCTCTGAATTTAGTGAGCTGCTGCTTCTGCTCTTACCCTATGTTTGCTGGGCACAGCCTTCTTGAAGAACTGGGGAGCCCTATGGTTTCTTCAGTTTAGCTAAGGATACTGCTAGCTAAAGGTGAGATACTGCACCTTCGAGCAGTATCTTAGGGCTGCTCCAGTGGCTCTCAGGCTTCTGTAGGTTTGAGGTTGGAGCTGTGTGCTCCGGTACCCAAGCCGTAATCAATGGCAGGTGGGCACGGCACTCATGCATACAGTAGGAAGCCAGAGCTTAGACGCAGTGGGAACCCAGAAACTTTTCTGGAGCTAGGTGTCCTGAGGTTGAACCCAATGTTTCCCCCTCTGTGGGGTTTTCTCCTTACAAGGACACCTAGTCTGTGGTGTTTGGGGGTCTGCAGTTCTCTCTGGGATGGCACGTAGAACACACAGGAGCAGGCATGTGGCTCCATCTTGCTGGCTACTGGGTGTCTGGGTGCCTGCAGAAACCCAGGAAAGTTTTTTGGGGGAAGGGTTGTCAGCTGAGTGCTCTGATGTCAGAATTGCTCTTCCCCTTACTGTGGGGTTTTCCACTCAACAGAGAAACTTAGTCTCTGGTGTCCTGAGTTCTGACTGGGATGTTGAATCGGGCATGCAGGCTGGACTCTATGCTGTCAGCTGTTCACCCCACTCTGGGCTGACAGCTCTGCACCTGCTGGACCCCTGGGATTTCCATGGGGTTTTCTCTCAACTGGAAATCCCAGTCTCTGGGGTTGTGGGGCTCAGAGTTCATTCTGGGATGGTGATCAGAGCACACAGATATGTGGCTCTGGGATGGTGATTGAGCACCTGGTGTGACATGAGAACTTTTCGGTGGTTTAGATGGGTGACCTGAAGCTAATTGATTCCCATTCCATGGGGTTTCCTTCCATCTAGGAAACACAATCCCTGGTGTTTTAGGGTCCAGAGTTCCATCTGCTGGTCACTGTGCATACTGTGCTGTGCTGCTGGTCAGAAAGAGTGTCCTCCCAGCCCTGCATCTTGGATCTACCTTAATTCTTTATACAGTGATAAAAGGAGGAAGAGAATCCTTTTTCCTTAATAAGACCTTTTTTCTATCTTCCACATTTATATTTTATATTAATGTGGAGGCATCCAACACACCCTTATATTACAGAACTCAGCGCAACAGGAAAAAAGTTAAACAGTTTGACTTGATGAAGGGCATCTGCAAACAAGGCCTTCAGTGAACTTCACCAAATGACCAGTGGCTAAATGAGGACCAGTGAGGTGCCTCAGTAGGTAAAGGTGATGCTGCCATGCTCAACAACCTGAGTTTGAAACCCAGGACCCACAGGGTGTAAGGAGAGAGCAAACAGGCTTCCTTACATAGAACAGTTAGATAGCTATGGTTTAAGAGAAAGGCCATGCATGAAAGGACCTGGACCCCCTGTTCAAAGGAAGCCCATTGCTTGCTCAGTTTCTAAGTGGCTTTCCTAGTAATGGGGACAGGGGTTGTCTCTGACATGAACTCAGTAGCTGGCTCTCTCCTCTACCTAGGGGCTGCAGCCTTGCCAGGCCACAGAGGAAGATGATGCAGCCATTCCTTATGAGAACTGATAGGCTAAGGTCAGAGGGAAGGACTGGAGATCTTCCCCTTTTAAAGAACTAGGGAAAGAGCACCAGTGGAGAAGAGGGAGGAAGGGTGGGACTGGGAGGAGACAGGCAGGGGGTTGCAGCAGGGATACATAGTAAATAAATATATCAATAAAATTAAATTTAAAAAGACAGAGGTCGGGACATTAAAGTAAGTAGTATCCCGCATAGAAAAATTGAGATAAATAAAGCCATAGATTTGAGATCAAATTTCAAGAGTAAATCCACATAGACGTGATAGGTAAACAGTTGTGATACTTGATACCTGAGAGCACAATCCATGAGAATGAAAATGGATACAAAAGGTGAAGGGAAGACAGGCTGTACATGGCAGCTAATGTGCTAGCAAGAGGGAGCTGACTGGTCAAGGAGCTACTCTGTATTCTGAGTATTTGACGCCACACAAATCAACACCACACAGACAAAGAAATGGACTTGTGAAATGGGAAATGTGAATTACTCTAGGCGGCAAGTGTCTATTGACATCTAGATTACAATTCTATAGTATATTTAGACTTGCTCAAGCCATTCCTATTAGCAAAATTAATACTTACACTCTGCTTGTACATTATTATAAAAGCCACTGTGAATCTATATTTATTTCATTTTTAATTGAGTAAGTAAAGTATAAAGGTTTACATTATTAAAATGGGAGGCTGGGGAGATGACACAACAGTTAAGAGTGCTTCCTTCTCTTTTGGAGGACACTGATTCCGTACTCAGCACCCCTGTCAGGCAACTCACAACTGTCTGCAAGGCCAGCTCCAGGGGATGTCATACCCTCTGCTGGCCTCCACAGGAACCTACACATGGCAGTCACTCACTTGCACACATATATATAAGTGTAGGCATAATGTTATTGTGTAAGTGAAATGCTGATTTCTGTGCCTCCCACATCCTGTTGCCATCCGTGTTTTGAGAATCTCCTGTCTCAATGTTGTGTAAACACTGCTCCCCAATTTACCCTGATATGTCAAGAAAGCAGTTTACAACCAATAGCTGAGCATGGGAGAGAATAGGGTGAGAATCCTATCAGACAGGGGAGGAGAATTTAGAGAAGGAAGTAGGGGATGAAGCCACAGGAAAGGTTGAAGAGACATGAGGTGAAGGAGCTGGAACAGGAAAACAACAAAGTGCAAGTACCTCTGGGATGTATGCTGGGAGGAAGCCAAATTAGCTTAGAGGGTTAGGAATAGATTAATAACTGCTTAGCTATTGTATCATGAAGCTTATTATTAAACAGATATAAAAGTCTCAATTATTTGTGGGAAATCTATATTAAGAGAGAAACTAAGAGAAACACAGTTTTATAAAAATAGCACTAATGTATACTCCTAAATAAAATAACAAAAATGAACATTTAAATTTTTTAATTAAAAAAAGGTTAGCTACCCGCCGGTTTGTGAACGTAGAATAGCATTCTTTCACTAGTATATTTCGGATCATCTCTGTGTCTGTGATGGCAAATGTAGGGATTTGACCATCAAACAACCTGTGTGAGGAAAACAGCTGATTATTCCAAGCCAGGCTCTAAAGTGAGAGCCACACCCAGACTTTGATTATAATGTAGCATGACCCTCACTGTGATCATACAACTGTCAAAGGAGTTCAAAGTTCTTCCCCACTTTTTCTTTTAACATATTTAGTGTATCTGCTTTTATGTTGAGATCTTTGATCCACTTGAACTTTAGTTTTAGGCAGTGGACAACTAGCCAGCCCACAGAGGAACAGGATCCAGGCAGTCCTGATGTTAACTGTTAGGCTAGGGTCAAGAAGTAGGAGAGGAGAATTTCTGCTATTTTTGGACTAGGAAAGAGGAACAGGAGATGGAATGGGAGGGAGGATGGTACTGTGAGGAGAGGGGAGGGTATTACAATAGAGATACAGTGTGAATAAATAACAACAACAAGAATATTAGTAGTAATAAAAAAAACTACTGAATTAGATCAACTTGTATACTTTAAAGTTGTTTTAGCATTAGAAAGGCAGTCAGGTAATGAGTTATGTTGGAGAAGAGGTTTTTCTTTTATTTCCACAGGTGATGAAAGACTATGGGTTCCATCAAAATTTATAAAGTTACAATTTGAATAAAAGAAGCTTGCACATGAAAGACACAACACAAAATAGGAAGAGATGCAGAGAGACATCAATGCTGAAAAGACAGGAAACTGATCCCCCTGCATGGGGACAGCTCAACAAACTGGCCAATTGGGGGAAGGGGGAGACATATTATTCAGCAGACTGGTAGACTGGAAAACCTTGATGCTGAAATGGACATTTTCTGAAGGACAGATGATGAGGACTGCAATTAAGAGGGGTCATTGCAGTAAAAATTTGTCATATGGACTGTTAAATTTATGAGCTTGATAATTGTTTCTGCTGTAATCATTAAACTGTGCATATTTTTTAGCTTAAATAGATATGGAGAAGATGAAGAAAATTTTTCAACCAGGAACATGGCTTCTTTGGCAAGTGATCGCATCCAAAGACCGTCTAGGTCCTTGTGACCCAGTGGAATAGAGACACACTCTGGATTACAATATGTTATGGCTAGAATATAGTCACACCATTATTCCTAAACAATGAAAGTAAAGTTCATTGATAAAAGAAATCAGCTATGTTTGAAAGTGATGTCTAATTGAAAAGCCTTAGTAAGTATGTTGGTTTTTCTAAAAAATATATATATATATATATATATATATATATAAATGTTATGTAAAAAAAAAAGAATGTGGAACAAGGAGAACCCTCCTCCATTTCTGATGGGAATGTAAACATGTACAGCTTTGGAAAGCAATCTGTAGGTTTCTTAAGAGTTCAGTGTCCAAGTGGGTTACATAGTAATGGGAAGAGGGACTGCCTCTGACGTAATCTGATTGGCCTGCTCTTTGATCACCTCCCCCTGAGGGGGGAGCAGCCTTACCAGGCCACAGAAGAGGACAATGCAGCCACTTTTGATGAGAACTGATAGATTAAGATCAGAAAGGAGAGGAGAACCTCCCTTATCAGTGGACTTGGGGAGGGGCATGCATGCAGAAAGGGGAGGGTGAGTGGGATCGGGAGGGGAGGAGGGAGGGGCTTATGGGGGGGATACAAAATGAATAAAGTGTAATTAATAAAAAATTTTAAAAAAGTTTAAAAAAAAAGTTCAGGAATAGTTGTACCTCAACACCTAGCTGTACCACTCCTGGGCACATATCCAAAAGATGCTCAAGTATACAACAAGGACATTTGCTCAACCATGTTCATAGCAGCTTTATTCATAATAGCCAGAATCTGGAAAAACCCAGATATCTCTCAACTGAAGAATGGGTGAAGAAACCGTTATATATACATGATCGAATACTGCTGGGCTATTGAAAACAAGGACATTGTGAAATTTGAAGGCAAACTTGAAAAGGTCATCCTGAGTGAAGTAACTGAGAAGCAGAAAGATACTCGTGGTGTGTACGGATATTAGCCATAAATACAAGAAAGCCATACCAAAATTGACAGACCCAAAGGAGATAACAACAAAGAGGACCCAAGGGTGGGTGCTTTAATCATACTCAGAAGGGGAAATATAATAGATAGCAGAAGTGGTTGAAGAAAGGGTTCAAGGTAGGAAAGGGAGCATGAAGAGAAATGAGGATGGAGATCAGACTTTGGGAGAGTGGAGGCAAAAGAACAGAGGGAAGAGAAACTGTGAGTGGGGCATCTCTGACAAGCTGGAGACCTATGATAAGGTAGGCCTCTGGAAGAATATGGGGTGACTCTAGCTGAGATGACTAGTAGCAGCGGTCATGGAGACTGAAGAGGACACCCTCTAACTAAATAGGACTCCTTGTAGAGGGAGGGAACACCAAACAACACACAAAAATGTCAACTCAAAATTTACTCTACCTACAAGATGCACAAGGATAAAGACAAAGCAGAGATTGAGGGAATCGACAACCAATGCCTACCCCAACCTGAGACCCACAACAGAGAGAGAACAAATTCCTGCCACAATGATACTATTAATGATACTCTGCTGTGCTGGCAGAAAGGAGCCTAGCATAGCTGTACTCAGAGCCTCCAGCCAGCAGCAAATCAAAACAGATGCTGAGACTCAGATCCAAACACTGGGTAAAGTATAGGGTGTCTTGTGGAAAAGTGTGTGTGTTGGGGGGGAGGGATAGAAGTATCTGGAGGGGACAGGATCTCCACAAGATGACCAACAGAAACAACCAACCAGGGCCCAGAGAGTCCTGCAGAGACTGAAGCACTAAGGACCATTCATGGACTGGACCTAGGCACCCTATACAAATGTAACCAAGGCCTCATATGGGTTTCCTAATAAGGGGAGCAAAGGCTGTCTTTGACATGGACTGTGTTGCCTGCTTTTTGATTGCTTATGTTTGGTGGGGCTGCCTCAACAGGGGAAGAGGATGCACTCAGTCCTTATGAAATTTGATGTGCTGGAGTGGATTGGTAGGGGGCACTCCTTACTGATGAGTAAGGGAGGGAAATGTTGGGAAAGAAGGAGAGTGGGACCTGAAGGTGGGAAGGGAGAGGCTGTACTTGGGATGTAAAAAGAAGAAATGAATTAATTAATTAAAAAATAAAGAAAGAAATTAATGAAGCACCTATAACAGCTTCTCCAAGGCTCAGATAATGTTTGGAAGACAGGGCAGAAAGAACATGAAAGCAAGGAAGTAGATAGGAGAGCAGCCAAACGCTGACTTCTGTACTTTTGAATTCACTGCAGCTGTGATTACTTCCCGAGGCCTGTGCATGATTTCACTGTCAGCACTCCAGCAGGGAGTTTAAGGTCCTGACCAGCCTGAGGATGTACACATAGCCAGTTTCTGGAGAGCGAAAGCAAAATGGCCTAATGGTAAAAGCACCTGATGATATCAGCTCAATCCCTGGGATCTACATGGTGGAATGAGGGAACTGACTGCCACAAGTTGCTGTCTGACCTTACATGTGTGCCAAAGCACATATGCTCCTCTCTTACAAATAAATAAATATAATAAAAAAATCAAAAAGAAAATAGTTGACCTCATGAAACTGAAAAGTTTCTGTAAAGCAAAGGACACTATCTTCAGAACAAAACGACAGCCTATAGACTGGGAAAGGATCTTCCACAATGCTATATCTGAAAGAGGACTAATATCCAGAATATATAAAGAACTCAAGATTTGTTGTTGTTAAACAGCAACAAACCAAGTAATCCAATTAAAAATTGGGGTACAGAGATAAACAGAGAATTCTTTATAGAGGAATATAGAATGGCAGAGAAATACTTAAATAAATGCTCAATGTCCTTAGTCATCAACGAAATGCATATCAAAACAACCCTGAAATTTCACCTTACACCCATTAGAATTGCTAAGATAAAATACTCAATTGAAAACACATGCTATTCATGGAGATGACCTGGAACCCCTGCACAGGTGTAGCCCATGGCAGTTCAGTGTCCAAGTGGCTTACATAGTAATGGGAAGAGGGACTGCCTCTGACATAATCTGATTGGCCTGCTCGTTGATCACTTCCCCCTGAGGGGGAGCAGCCTTACCAGTCCACAGTAGAGGACAATGCAGCCACTTTTGATGAGAACTGATAAACTAAGATCAGAAAGAAGAGGAAGACCTCCCCTATCAGTGGACTTGGGGAGTGGCATGCATGCAGAAAGGGGAGGGAAGGCGGGATCGGGAGGGGAGGAGGGAGGGGCTTATGGGGGGGAATACAAAATGAATAAAGTGTAATTAATAAAAAAAATAACAGCAAGGACAAAAAAAAAGAAAACACATGCTATAGAGGATGTGGAGAAAGGAGAACACTTCTCCACTGCTGGTGGGAATGTAAACTTGTACAACCACTTTCAAAATCAATCTGGTGCTTTCTCAGACAGTTAAGAATCATGCTGCATCAAGATTCAGCTATACCACTCCTAGGCATATATCCAAAAGATGCTCAAGTACACAACAAGGACATTTGCTCAACCATGTTTGTAACAGCTTTATTTGTAATAGCTAGAATCTGGAAACAACTCAAATGCCCCTCAACTGAGGAAAGGACACAGAAATTGTGGTACGTTGACAAAATGGAATATTACTCAGCAATTAAAAGCAAGGAAATCATGAAATGTACAGGCAAATGGTGGGATCTAGAAAATATCATTCTGAGTGAGGTATCCTAGAAACGGAAAGACTGACATAGAATATTCTTGTTATACTCTCCTTTTGGAATGTATACACTTTCTTCATTTAAGTGCTGATTTATCTCCCCTATTATCTTTTCAAACCGGACATTGCATTATGATGCTTATTCTGTACATCACCTGTCTCAAGTTTTTGTAAACATGCCACTATTTGTTCTGTAAATTGTCAGTTAAAACAATCAGCCACATTGCTGAGCAATGGAGAGAATAGGGTGGGACATCATTGTCCAAAAATCGCGGAAGAGGAAGGAAGTAGGAGGGAAGAGAGTCCTGGAATCACATGGAGAAATGAACCAGAACTAAGA